AATTGGCATTGAGATGCCGTGGATGGAGATATTCCTGACAGGACATGCTTCACAAGGTCACCGGTGCAGCTGAAGACCCGGCCATAATATAAACTCTTATAAAAGACCGCCTATCGCATAGCAGCCGAAGAATGGCTGCTGTTTTGTCTCTAGCACCGGATATCCCTCTCTCCACTTCCCTCTCAATGGCATTTTCTGTGGTCCAGAAGGGGCTGAAGGTGAAATGTGAATGCCAGTGTGAAGCTGACAACTAAATACATCTAAATACTAAATATTACTAGATACTTCCACCTTTCGTGTCTTTTCAGCTTCGCTTGGGAGCGATGAGAACTCTTCAGACTCGAAACCAGCCACGGCCCATCGTTTGACCAGATTTGTGGGCCCCCTAAAAACCGCTTTTCAATGTCTTGGAGCTTGTTAAATGGGATATATCATTTTTGTTGAGCCCCCTATATATTGTTTGCCAGGGTTTGGAGCATGAAAGCATATGAATGCAACGCTCTTATGCAATCCTAATCATCGCAAAATGTGGAAACACACACAACTTTTGGAGTGCTCGTCAGGTCCTTGCTGCTCCGCCTTCGGTTTTGGAAAAGGCCTTGTCCTCCAAACCATGCATGTTCACTTCTTGGAGGGTCGTGTCATGTTTCTCCTTCAAATCACTGGGATCAAGCGCAAAACTTGAAGTGCAAAAGAGCTAGGAATCTCTGCGAGGATGCCTGCCTGTTTTGGCTGTGGGCACTCAATCACCTTCATTTGTCTTGTTGTTGCTAGCTCTTCATATTTCCAATGGTTTTGCCGCCTTCTCAATAGGCCTTTCTCCTTCCTACTTAGCTCCTGAGTTGATCGGCAAGAGTAGCACATCAACGAGAATAGGAATTGCAAGAGCTGAGCATGAGACCTGAAAGGCTTAGAAATAGCTTCGCAAGAAATTGCCCACTTAAGACCGGGAAACCCTTGAAGAATAGGAAGGACTTGTGAAGGAAGGGCTAAGTGTGAAGAGTGGGGCAAATTGATTCGACAAAGGAAGAGCTAATTAAAAAAGTGAAGACACAGCGGGCCAATCAGCACAAAGGGTAGAGGAACTAACTAAGAGTCCAAGGTACAGCAATTGAAGATTCCAAGGTCTCGAAGCCAGATAAAAGCAGATGTGGGACAAGGGGAGGCAAACATGCCAACAATTGTTGTATGAACTCGGGTGCGCAGTTCAAACTCCCAAATGGTGATCAGTACACTGACGACAAACACCAAAGTCAATGCTTCCTATACATCACATCAGTTTCATGCAGCTTGCACAGCAAACCAAAAGGATACTAGAGGCCAACCCAGGTGAAGGTTTGCATTCTTTTGGGCATTGCATAGGTTGAATCGCACAGGTTCTCTTTCGGGAGATGATCCAATATGTGCAGGTGTTTATTCCCCGTTAAGTGATCCCCAAAAAAACCAAGCCCCCCCCAGTAAGTTGAAACTATGGTCAACTAGTGGTAGGGGGGAAAGGGTAGCACCAATCTACATCTAATTAAACATGTGTTTTGGGTTTCTGACCAACCACAAAAGAACCTTCAAAAACTCCAAATCCAAAAACTATTGGGCTGGTGCCACAAAAATAAGGCACTCCAAAGATTCCAAGGTGCATTGAATCAAAACACCAAAGTGGTGCCAAAAGTTTGAGACGTTTGCGTCGTGTTGTCGTTTCATTTGGTTCACGGACCGGCGTTGTGCTTCAGAAACATTCGTGGCAAGTATTGTTGTGCTTTTGTTTAAGTGTTAGAGCGCCTCCAGCTCATTTTCGGTGAGGTCTCCACAAAAATGAAGCCATTCCTTGATCATTGATCTGTCTAGATCCCCCTGGTCACAACCCCTGGCACAACACCCAAAAACGCCAAAAGCAAAACACCAACGCCATGTGGTGTCTCAAAGCTGATTGGCATTCAAAAAACAGTGAGCCTTTGAGGTTCCACGCAGGTACACATATATGAGGAGCACTATGAGGAGCCCTGCTTGTTGTTCGTCTCAGACAAACCAACGATGCTGGTGCACCGGCGGACCTTATCATTTGGTTCTCGGTTTCGTGTGCTTGCGCACCAGGAACCTCCCTCCTCTAAAGTTGTTTTCGCCGGTTTGGACTGCATCCAACGACCCCCTGATGCCTGCCAACATTGGCATTGGCAGCATCGGGTCGTTCAACCCATTAATCCAACACGACACTGGACCACGCTATCACATCCTAGGAGCGATCGGATGATACTGGGAGCGCTCCTGACCTTACTACTCGTAACAAGAAGCTATATACTTAGTAAGAAAGGGCATCGCGACTCGAACGAAGCGATTGGACACGTGCTCACATCCTATCATCATGTCGCCCAGACTCTGTCTTTGATCTTCCGGGATGGCATTCGGCAGGCATGTGGAGCCCACCAGCACCACGCGCCAAAGCAGAGTGAGTGTCAGCATGCAGTCTCTTGGCAACCTCAGACAAAAATAATGGCCTCTAACCGACAGAGCTATGGCCTCCAAACTAACTAAGAGCGATGGCCTCCAACCTAAGAGTGATGGCCTCCAACCTAGCGACGGCCTCCAACCTAAGAGCGATGGCCTCCAACCTCAGAGCGGCTAAAACAAAAGCTGTCTCTTGGCAACCTCGGATCCGAAACAGAAAACGTACCAGCAACTCATTCGCCGGCAGTCGGTCATGCTGTCGGTATGTGCCGGTCGATCCAAGTTCTTTTCGACAAATAGGAAGGTAACTGAATATCTTGGTAGACCAGCGCTCTTGCAAAAGAGATTCCTGTACATGTCCCCGTTTGGCTTGCCGTGTGCACACACAACTAGTACAACTCGAGATGTACAAATCGTGGCTGCCCTTGCTTTTACGGCATGGATATGCCAGTAATACCCGTTGAATAACGCCAGAATCGTTGGGTGAAAGATTTTAATTGATCACAAGAGCTACAGTTTTTATCCAGTACTTGCCTCAAGCCTCACCTCCGCACTTGAAAAGCTGTACCTCCTGTGATGTCGAGCTGGTATGCCTGGGACCTCGGACCTGGGACTGATTCCCAACAAGTTGCGCCAAGGAAGTCGCGTGTAAAACATGCTTGAGCTGGCTTGAGCCGAAAAAACCTTGCGGTTTGAAGTGGTAGGGACGTCCCCCGACCAGAATGGTGGGCCACCGATTGACGACAGCCAGTCATCTTCTGTGCCGAAGTGGCTCTAGCGGGAAGACTGTGAATCGCTAATCGCTATGAAGGAGAGTGCATGTTGAGAGTAAGTGTGGAGGATGACATGCAGGGAAGTGGAAAACCTCTCATGGTTGCCAAATGGCCTTAAGGAATCCTTGTGCAGTTCCATGTCTGTCGGAATTATACTGCTGGAATTGCACCACCGGAAGGATCAGGAAGGTGGTTTGATCCGCGAAACATCGCGAAACCCTATCTGAGCTCCCCCCCACCGGCCCCACCCCATGTTTTCTTCAGAGGTCAAAGGTACCTGGACCCTGGTCATTCCAGGCCTAGCGTCGGATCGCACGCCAGGCCTCAGCGGTCTCCGGTGGCGTTTGCTGCGAGTAAACGGATGATGAGTGGAGTGGCGAAAGCGCAACTGAGAAAGAAAAAGGAAAACGGATCCAATTCATCTCATGTTGAGTTGAAGGCAGGTGAAGGCTTGGCTCATGGAAGATAGATTTTAATACATGGTGATATAAATCAAAAGAGGTCCAACATCGGAACGGGGTCGGTGAAGATGAGTTGGTGCAAATGGACACCAGTCACCGCATGTCCATATCGTTCGATCCCCATGTCGTCGGCAAACGAGTGGCGGCGTTGTGCAAAACGTGGCGGCGTGGGACACCTTTTTGAGGAGCATTTCGGGCATCGCGACTCGAGTCCGGAGCGATCGGAGGCTACGAGTTCGGGGCTCCTGGCCTTCCTACTATAGGAACAAGAGGACGAGACGAACGGAGCAAAGGGCAGTTCCAACATATTCCAACTGTCAAATCCCTCACGAGGATGGC